ATGTTCCAGGTTTGAGATGAATTTCAACTTCACATGAATACCAAAATGACGTTAAATTAACATTCTATTTCGCCTCGGACTCATCAATACCCTGAGCAGCATTAAAACTGTGGATAGACGAACACATTATCCCGTAAGTCACATCGCATCATATGACAAGCCTCTTTTTATTCACATATATGTGTGTGAAGGATGCCTCTATAGACAAACATGAACTTTCCATCAAACTGTATTCTCAAATTAAATGCATAATATATACGAAGAGTAAGTGAGCTTCTATGACTCTCCTCAGATAACATTGTTCGGGAGACCTTCATTTTGTATGAAAGTGCTTGAAGAAGAGGTTCGTAGGTTGATCCCACCGCAAGATGACGGCTGATTCCCGTGGTATTGCAGTCGTTTGGCTTTAATACGACTTGCAGGTTGACACAGTCCACGAGTCATCATTCCTCGTTTCGAGTGAAAACTGATTGAGCCATCGTCCATCCTATGATGGATATGATCAGAGCTGGAACACGTTCTTATAAAAGTCTCACGTTAGCATTAGGTCAAGAAGGTGTGAGACTTTTACAAGAATTAGTGCTAGCTATGATGATGTCCATCAAAATTAGTTCTTTTATCCTTCTGTTCTTATTTTATATACGAGTAGGTGTCAAGGCGTTATGCTTGCATCTAATTTAAGCCAACGAATCAAGAAAATTCACTGTAATATTCAGCTATCCCTTTGCACCAAGTGTCTATCTATAATGTATCGAAGATAGAAATTTAGCCTTTTGGACCTTATCAGTTATTAGTTAATGTCTGGTGTTAGAAGATCAGTACCGTGAATTATAAACTATTGGGCTTAGTAAATAATTAAATTATTTGTTCGTTTGACCTCGTTTTTCGCAACTTGTTTGGGGCAACAGGGAGATCTTGTGCAACGTACTTAGTCCTACGTCATCTGGCAGAGGACGCAGGTCAACTTTGAATAAAGACAGGATTTAGTGGACCAGTTTTGACAGCAAAAATGCGTATCCTCCAAAAAATCTTATTTATCTCTAATGGCTTGTAAAAGACTTGTACATGCCGAAGCCTGCACAGAACCATGTTTTTTACTCAATTATGGCGTACCGCACTGTCGACGCCCAAAGTGAGGAGAAGCGAGAAGAAGCAAACGGCCATGATGGCGCCCAGGATCGAGCCGCGGTCGAAAACAACAGGATAAACGGTGAATGCCAGTCCTGGACCAGCCTTGAAAACGCAATCCAATGTAACACCAGCCCTATGCGCGACCACACCCATGTAGGAGAAAGTGACGAATCCAGCGAACACGCTCGTAAGACAAGATACTATCGGAAGTAATATGCTGTTCCTGAATAAAAGAATTTGAAGAAAATAAACACATCTATCAACCATTTGTACTACTCTACTTTCACTCTCTTTTATTCACAGCCTTTTCCTATCTATACAATTTACCATTAGTTTATACTACTAATAGTAATGTTAGTAGTATCCTTCATTAAAGTGGTCTAATTGACTGACAGCATTCTTAGCATTATGGTCTCGTTTGTGACTGCCTAATCCTTTGCAATTGAAGCAAATTCAAGTACATATAGCTCGATTTAGGGTTCTGAGTGATGCCTGAGACAGAGATAAAGCATTTCTTGGAGGATTACGGTCAGTAATAATATTTAGTCTAAAGATATAAAGACTATTCTGAAATATTTTGTCAAGTACCATCAATTAAGGTCATGAAAAATATATAAAATGGAAAATACAGTGATAACGAGCATTTTTAAGGCGATTTTTTCTTCACTTGCCTTAATTGTTTTAGGCGCTATAATTCGTTGTCTAGGCTTTATAGTGTCGGATAAAATAAGATAGTGATATACAATGTTGTCTTCTGGGTGAACTTTTGGTTCAAAAATTATCAAAAAATTATTCAAATTCTAATAGCGGTATACTAATTTCTAACGAATTAAGTCACAATGAAGTGAAGAAAAGGTCCGAGGTTTCTGTGAAATTCAATACGCTATTCATCTAGAAATGCTGTTCTCACAAAGTCGGGTCCGAGGTCTCGACTTTGTTTATGTCATTAATTCAGAGGCAATCTCACATATAGACAGTTGGAATCCCCCTGGGAATGCAGGGACAAGTCTAAAGCTCTTCAGATAAGAATGGTTTTCTGAAGCCAAGTAAGAAGTAAATTTCTGTAAAAAATCTAGTCATATCTTAAATGTATTAGCGTTCAAATCCAATAACATAATAAGAAAATAGTTTATCGTGGTAACAGCAAGAATTATGATACATGCAGCAAAATACTAAAATAATTTAGATTGTTATCCTATATCGTTAATGAGGAAGGCAATTTTAAACATTAAGAATTCAAAGCTTCCGGTTCCGATGATGTCCCAGCCGTTTCATTCCACTGTAGGAATTTAATCGAAATGTCGGTCTTTGTTTGTAACCTGAGCCAAAAGGAAAACAATTTCACTACCTAAATGGCATACCAAGCTCTGTTTTTACATTTTAATGAATCTGTACATATTCTTAAG